CCCCAAAACCCCAAAACCCCAAAACCCCTTAATCTTTTAAAAAGAAAAAAGTGATAGATTTTGGCTATTGATAAATTAAATAATAATTTAAAACTAATATAATAATGTAAAGGAAATCAGTATAGCCCCATCCGTCAAAGGATAAATAAGTTTTGAGTAATTAATTAATAAGTCAATCATATTTATATAGATCTGCGAGGATCCTATCAATCATCAAGACGAAACTTGTAAAATAATCTTACCAGTCAAACAAGCAGCAATTCTAAATTGCAAAGTATGGATACTCTTTCTTAAACATATGATAGATAAATAAGAAACTAGTCAATAAATCAGCAACCATGATTCTAATAGAAGAAGAGGTTAGCCTACACATATAGACTAACTGGCTAGAAATAGAACAGAAAGAAACATTAGCAGTCATAGTGCCTCAAACCTATATAGTTTAGAGAACAGTTTGTTTGAGAGAAGCCCAAATATCAAATAAGAAGACCAATAATAGACAAACAGAAATATGAATTTTAACATTATAGATGGTTCGAATAGCATAAGTTTCAGATAAAATCAGAACTATAATTAAGATTAATAGTTGTAGCAATAGTACTAGGGAATTAATAGTCTTCCAAGTTTCAATATACCCATTAATTGTAAATCATTCATATCTCATTATTTAGTTTTAGAAATGACTTAGTAATAGGATAGCAATTAGAACAGATACCATCCGCTTCTATCAACTGGTGTTAGATAAGCAATCAGCTCTCTACAAAGTCTTCAACCTTAGATTGATCCCTACAGCCCTGATATGATGAATGTTAAACAATCAGAAGTAGCTGAAACTTCACCAAATGGCATCAACCGACCAAACAGTCTAGATTTAAACGGATCTTCTCATTCAAAGGAAAGACCAAAGACTTAAATTTATAAAATCTCTGAATCAAACTAACAATCAAATGGAAATCAAAATTTAAACAACAGCATGAATATCAACCGTCTTAACGCTTTATAATAATCACTTTAGCAGCCACATCTAAGAAATCAATCTTTGCAATACTAAACTAGTGTTCCGGTAAATAATCAGAGTCAAGCATCACAACAATCAATGCAGCAACTATTATAGCAAAACAATCCATTCAGAAAATAAAAGGTGCCTCAAGTGACGGTCCTAAATCCTTCTTTGTAGTAAAGCTAACAGTATCTTACAACAAACTAGCTTAGAATTAGCAATCCATTTGTTTCTAATAACAGTAATGGTAGCACTAATCATGGCCCTCATTTTAATCTTCATGATCCCTTTGGTACGAATATGAATAATAAGCCAAATCAGTCCATAATGATTGTAGATTAGAACTAGTCTTATGAAGGTAGTAATGAGATGCTTGGAGAGACTCTGAATAATAACAGTTTTGAAGAATCATAGTCTGTTATTAATAGGAACAATTATAATGTAAGTCTATTCTCACTTTCAATACATCTTCATGTAGGCTTAAAATGACTTGTCAAATTTGTCGTAGTATATTGATCCTAAGTACACAGAGATCCTTTCTAAATATTTGCACTCTTACTCCTAGACACCTTAAAGTTAAAATAGGCAACCAACACAGGAATTCACCACTCTCAGATAGATCTCTGAGACTTTACAAAATAAACTTGAAAGCTTTGAGAAGCAGTTACTGCAGATATAGCCTTAGAAGCCCACTATATTTAGACACAACGATACGTAGACTGAGGATGAGATAACTAGACTCAGTGTAGAAGAATATGATGAACTTAAGATTGAGATATTAAGACTCTAAGATCGAATCCAGAGAGAGAAGCACAATAATCTTAAGGAAAAGGAATTTAGCTCTTAATAAACTAAGGCTTACTAGGATCAGATAAAATAGCTAAAAGAAGACACAGCGAGAATGCAGGAATGTCTCAAAGTGAGAAGAGACTTTGAAAGTAATTAGAAAAACCAAAACGAAGAAACCATGAAAACCAAAGACCATCTTATTAAGTAGTTGACTCAGAAATTGCAGGACTCTACAAAGTAGATTTAAGAACTCAAATCAAAATAAAAGTCACTCTAAGAGCAATATGAGCAATTAGAGCAGTAAGAAGAGGTAAAGATTGAATAAGAAATTTAAAGAATGGCTGAGAGAGAGGCATTAAAATTGGAAAATCAACGAAAGCAGTTTAATGATGAGAATGCTGAGTATTAAAGGAGATTTGAAGGCTTGAAATCTGAAAATTTAAAGTTAAAACAGCAAATTCAGGAGATCTAATAGATTTAGGGTCAATAGTAAAACTTAATAAACAAAGATTTTAACCAATAACTACAAAGATGCATGAGTGATCTACAGGAGAAGCAAAAATTAATTGAAAAAAAGGATAATGAGGTGATGAAAGCTAGAGATCATTTGGGTGAGCTTGAACGTGAGATAGTCAAATTAAGAGATCAGATCAAACTTTACAGACTAGAAATAGAAGAAAAAGATGATGAATTGGAATCACTAAGACATAAGCACAAGGATGTGAAGCATAATACTGACACCTAAGTAGTAAAGCTAAAAGAGTAATTGAAATAAGAGTAAAATAGACAATAAGAGACAGAGGATTACTATAAAAAGGAAATATCTAGCCTGAATGAGTAGCTTTAGACTGCAAGAGATGAGTACGATGAGATGAAAACTATGGGATACCAGAAGTTATAAGATTACCAGGATGAGAATCAAACTCTTAAGGACCATATCTATCAACTTAACGATGACAAGTCAGACCTCTAGGGCTAGATACAGAAACTTAGTCGTCAAATTACTAACGTCTAGACTGAGCTTCAGGAGACTAACAAAGAAAAAGGCTCCATTAACTAAAGATTGCAAGAATATATGAATAGTAAAATGAATTCGTCTAAGTTGCAAGAAGATGAGTAAAAGCGAATGAAGCAAGAAATCGAAGAACATAAATAGAAGAATAAAGAATTAGAGATGCAGATAGACATGCTTTAGAGTCAGATCTTCAATCTATAACCAAAACTTGAAAAGAAGAGGCAAAGCATTCAAATGATAAAGCAGCAGCAGCAATAGATTGAGAGTGAGAATAGACTAAAAGAAGGGCAAATTGAATAAATTCAAAGATAACACAATGCTGAGATTCAAATAAAATAAGACATTATTGATAATCAAAAATAAGAGATTTAAGAGCAGTCAGCGATGATTAAAGCTTATAGAAAGTAGGTGGAAGAGCTTGAAAAATAAATTAAAACCCTTTAATTAAACCTAGATAAGATGATATAAGATCACTAGCTCTAAATAAAGTAAATCTCAACAACTCTATCACTAGACAAACAATCCATTAGTGTTGAGATATAATAACTGTAATCCTAGGTAGAGTAATACAAGCAAAAGCTATCAAATAAAAAAGCAAAGATTCAAACTATCAAGAAAGAAACTTAATAGGAGATAGATCAAGTTAGATCTAAACAGTAAGATGAGCTGGATAAGATGCAAAGAAAAATAACTGAGGGTGTGAGTGAACTCTTAACAAAAACAATGGAGACTTAAGAGTTTAATTATCAGATTGAAAAATTGAACTCTGAAGTTATTATGAAATAGCGTTAACTTGACGATATAAATGACAAATATCAGAATTTGCTCAATGATTAAAGCCAAAGAGAGCGAGAGACTAAATAATTGAATGACTATATCGAGACTCTCTAGAATAGAAGTTCCAACAGAGATGACATGTAAACATAGTAAATGCGGTAACTTTAAAGCCAAGTCTAGAGTCTATAGGAGAAATTGAAAAATAAAGACTTTGAGATAGAGGACCAGATAGAATAACTAATCCAATAAATTTAAGCATAAAAGGATATAAATTAAAAGCAAAAGCAACAGATCACTATCCTACAAAATGAATTTGATACTGAATTGTCAAAGTAAAAAGAATAATCTAAGAAACTTTAGAAGGAATACGACGACATGAAAGATTAAATTGATAATAGAGAACTTGAGATCAACAGAATTAAAAACTCTAAGGGATCTTAGGAGGGACTCATATAGAAATTAAATGATCAAATAACCTAGCTATAGGAGCAAAAGCTTCAAGAGAAGCAACAGTTGAATAACAGAATCAATGCTTTAATTGATGAAAAGACTGAACTTGAAATCCAGCTGAACTAAATAATAAAGTAAAAGGGTGAATTGGAATCTTAGACCTTATAGGAGCAGTTAGAGATGGACTAAGTTTACCTTAAGTTGGAGAAAAAACGACAGAAAATGTACCAGCTAAAGCAAGATGTGAGAACCAAGGGAGATGAAAACATAAAGCTGAACAGACTGATCAAGGATATGCAGGAGGAGCTAAAGAGTAAGGTGGGAGAGTCAATGAAGGAGTTAATGATTAAGAATTAGTAATTGGAAAAGTAAAGACAAGACATTGAGCACACTAAATCAGCCACTGAAGTGAAACTATAAGGACAGATTCAAGACTTGGAGAAAACACTTTAGCAAGTGCAAAAGATGAAATAGGATAAGGAATAAATCATGGAAAAAGAAATATAGAAACTAGAAAACAGATTAGTAGAAGAAAAAGCTAAGAGAGAATAGGAAATTGACAAAATAGAAGATCAGCTAAGCCAAGTGAAGAAAGATTTGAGAGATAGATAAAATCTGCTGAATGAAAGAGACCGTGAGTTAGAAATGATCAAAACTCAAATGAACTCTAAGAGCAAGGATCAATCAGAAAAGGATCGCATGATTCAGCAGTAACTCCAAGACATGGAGAAATTAAACAAATCCATTTAGAAGTATAAAGATGATATCTCGGATAAGGATTAAGCGATTTTAAAAATGAATCAATCTGCCATTTAGACTTAAGATGAATAATTGCAAAAGATACAGTAGCTCAACAAGTAAATTACTCAGTTACAGACTGATAGTCATCAGAAAGTCATTGAATTGCAAGCCTAAATTCAGAGTCTTGAGTAGAGATTGCATATGAGCAGTAATAAGTCTGAGCAAATGAGTCTTTAGGAATCAGAAATAAGGTCTTTAAAGACAGATATTCTTGCTAAAGATAGGGAAATGTCTGAGCTCCGTAAAACTATACAATAAAGAGATTAAGAGATCAATGAATTCTTTGAAACTGACTATAAGTCGCTAGAGGAACAATATGAGAAGTTAAAGCACTCAAATGCATAGCTTGAGACTAAGGCCAAGATCATGGCGACCTAGATTGAAGAATTAGAAAAAGCCAAGGTAATGCTCTTAACCAAAAGCAATATAGAAGAGTAGTCAACTACCAAATTACTGTAAAAAGACCTATAGAATAAGAACTAGCTAGTAATGATTAAAGATTCTGAGATAGATAGTCTGAAGAAGAGTATCAAGGAGTTAAAAGAGACTATAGACTAGAATGATATGGGCAAGGAAATTTAGGAATTAAAGAAATAGTATAACTTTGCTAAGAAAGAAAAAGACATGAAAGATATAATGATTGATTAATTAAAGAAGGAATTGGAAAAGAATGTGACTTAGCTCATGGAAGCTAAAGAACATGAAGCGTAGATGGCAACAACTATAAACTAACTATCCAATTAACTTGCTCAGTTGAGCATAAAACAGGCTATGCAACCTAAGAGTGACAAGTCTAAAAAACAAAATAATATACCAACATTTTGATAAATTTAATCATATTTGCTTATTAATAAAAATTTAGATTAATCTTTGATTTCATAATTGTTTCATCATCACGGGGTTTTGGGGTTTTGGGGTTTTGGGG